GCTATCAGATATCATCTTTTTGGAAGGGGTTCCGTTCCGTTCGATGCTTCATTTTCTATCTAGGAGATGTCCTGCAGGTATGATATATATTATATTATGTATGTAAATCATTATGAATTCATATAACAATAATGTCATGACTCTTGACTGGTACTAGCAGTCAGCAGCCAAGGATTTCCTGGCTCCAAAACCCATCTGGGCCAAAATACTGGGACTCGTCGAACATCTCTTCAGCATTCTTCAGCCTAGTCATGTCTCACCTAATGATGGTCAACCTATGCCCGCCCTTTCCCTCAGGTTTGGTGCGAGCTCCCAACTTCCTCGTCTCTCCGGTCGTTTCCTCGTTCCAACCGGGACCGAAAGAAAGGGACCCCTCCTCGACCCGGACCTCTCGTCCGGACCACGCGCGTACTTAGCTGGTCCGCCAGGTCTTAGGGCCGCCCTTCAGCTGGGTAAGGCGGGGTCCGCGGTCAGCCGCCGCTCCTTTGTTGGGCGATAAAGGGGAGAGAATGAGCGAGATACTTCTGGGGTAATTCGTGAGGAAAAGGAAGTCTTCAAGGGAAGAAGGAACCAGGGCCCTTTTTGGGGAGTCCGAAGGAAGTCTTCAAGGGTATATAGTGAGAGGCTAGTTCTTTTTGCGGAGAGGTAGGCTGGGTTCACAGCGGTCGCCACATGGGGTTTGTGTTTGATCTCGAGTTTCTGGTGAATGTGGAAGATCATGAAGCATTTGGGATTAGTGGCCGGTTTAGGAAGAACATGTGAGATCTGTGAGATGGAAGCTTTTCATTTCACCTGGAAGAATGAGCAATCACAGAATCCACAGAACATGCCATGGCTTTGTGATGGCTCGATCGACTTTGGGCGATTTTAGGTGCAATCTCTTGGCCAAATGAGTGCAGCTCGGCATCCTCACATAAACAGTAGGACCGCGGAGGTGAACTTTGTCTAGGAGATGTTCCCATTGCATCCCATATATGTACAAATAATGTATAATACTTTGTCATGTTTCCCACTTTTTTCTTTAATGTTCGAACGGATCTCAAGTAGATTGGACACGCGTTTTCAATTGAGCAAGCATCGGGGACAGCTCTGGAAGCCGTTGGAGACATGGATCCGAACCCCAGACAATTGTGGGTGCGGTGGGTTCCCCCCCAAACATTGACCACCCAGTCTGGTGTTCGAAATGCGTCTGGTGCACGGATCTTGGAGCACCCCAGTCGTGGAGCTTCGTATGTATGCTTGGCGGTCTGGTCTCGCTGTGACGAACAGGAGCACCCAGAAGCAGCCGAGTCTGGGGCCTCAGCGGACTGTCCTGGTGGCCACCTCCGGCCTCCAGAAATGCAAACTGCTAGACGAGTTCGCCCAGGGTTCGCCCCCCAAAACCCTTGACCCGAGTTCACCAGCTCACAGCCTCCACTGGCCAGACACCCAAGCACCCGGACCCCACCCAACCCAACCACATCTTGTTTGCATGTTGTATTTTTACTTGTTGTTTCAAGGTGCGTCGAGCTGTTGTTAATTTGATTATGATTACATGCCTTTCCTTGGGTCGGATTCTGATTCAAAGTCCTCCTATTTTTCCTGGTTGCTTTCTTTCTTTTTCTGGTGAGTCTTGTATTGATGTTTTATGTTTCCTGCTTTAGAGAAGAGCTTTTTTCGTTTTCACACTCTTTGACCCGAAGCTCCGCGGGTTTTGTTGGTAGCAGGAACCCAGATCCCAGCTTAGGCGGTTCTATGAATTTGAGTTGTCCTTTGGTTGAAGTTGATTTTGTTTGCATGTTTTTTGTTGTGTTTGATCTGTTTCCTGTGTTCTCTCTTCAATTCTGGACACTTGTGACGCCTTCGTACTCACGTGCGCTTGCAATGCACTTGCGTTTCAGCTCGTTCCGCGCGCGCGCGCGTTCCGCGAGCTGCTTTTGGGTCCTCCAAGGTCCCGAGGAGCCGGAGAAGGAGGCCGAATGCGCGAGCGGTTCCCAAGCTCTTGGTGGGTGCGACTCAGCTCCTGGACCTGGAAAAATCGGACACCTCGGAGTGAAGGGATTTGGAGTCGTAGCAATTTGTAGGTTTTGAGGGACCAAGGTCGTTTGGAATTCGATTCAAGGTGATCTATAGGTGATTCAGAGGTGATGTCTGCAGTTTGGAGCACAGGATCCAACACGACTTCTTTGGGTAAACAATCCCAGACACTGCATGGCCATATAATGCCTACATTGGGATGGTTTTGGGGGGGTCAATGCAGGCATGGCATACAGTCTGGGAATGGTTTCTCACCCTTTCACTGCACCGTCCACCGAGTTCCGGGAGTGACACGAGCCCGGCAGGTCACGGTGAACCACTTGGAGATGCAGGGAGCCACTGCAATGCCTCCCTTCCATGGAGCTACCGTGCGGCCCTCGGGGTGCCGAGTGGCAAACACGGTGGTGTGGTCATCGACTTCTCTGGATTTACACTGCAGGTGATTCCTTTTTGGGCACCCGTCCTGCGTGAACTCCCACAGTTGGAAGAAACCTAAGAAACCGAGCGAGAAAAACCGCGAACGACCCGGTGATCCTCGTGGCTGTGATCGTCCGCAGCCTTGAGGTGCACAAAGGCCTCTTTCGTGGTGATGGCTGACGCGAGAATGATGGGGCCCTCAGAGAAGATCGAAGATATCCAAGCAAAGATGCAAAAGGAGTTGGAGATGGGAGGAAGCAAAATGCCACTCGAGGAGGAAGATCAGTTAAAAGACAGATATGATATCCTAGGCATGGTAGGCCCGGATAGGCTTGGCGTTTATGAGGGTCCAACATCCCGATCACCTTGGCCCATCTTGGCCCTTGTTTCAGCGATCCAGCAACCTAAGGAGTGTGACCAACTGGGTACCGATCTTCAATCTGAGCGACCCTGAGCAGGGTTTCGATCACGCAGACACATCCGAGGCATCCGAGGCTGGGCCAAAATCCGCCAGAAGGTCTGGGGGTCACGCATGGTCACACTCTTCTTGGCAACGAGTCAGTCCCTTCTTCAGGGGCGGAGACGGTTTTTTTACCCCCAACAAGTATGTTTACAAAAGAATGGGACTGGCAGGATCTTTGATTGCAAACATCTTTCCTTTGGGAGGAGGGGGTCAAGGACTTCTTCAGAACCAACGCATTTTCAAACGATTGCTCGCAACTTTGGGGCCACGGACCCCCTCGTCAAGGTTCTAACGACGGTCCGAGGAGGGCGAAGAACGGCGCCCGGCCTTTCTTCCTGCTCAGCGTGCATGCGACGACACGGGGATCTTTTGAGGACAGGGGGCCCTTCACTTCGCCATGCCAGAGTGACTGATAAACTGTGGAATTGCATTCTTTAAGGCAATGTTTTGTTTATGATGCAGACATCAGTTCTATCATGTTCAATCAATCAATCAATCTATCTATCTATCTACCTATCTACCTATCTACCTTTCTACCTTTCTACCTTATCTACCTATCAATCTATCAATCTATCTATCTACCTATCTACCTATCTACCTATCTACCTATCTACATATCTACCTATCTACCTATCTACCTATCTACCTATCTACCTATCTATCTATCTACCTATCTATCTATCTATCTATCTATCTATCTATCTATCGAGGACATGATAACATGATGCAAACGATTGTAATGACTTACAGTACATCATGTATTGACGTATGTATACATATATATATATAATATACATATATTTACAGTATTCCCACGTATTCCCCAAGATTAAGGAGTATATATGTATGTAGATCTCTCATTTTGTTCACCGAATCGAGCTACTTGTTTCACTCATGAGAAGGCTCAGGAAGTATGAGGGGTCCTCTATTTTCAAGACAGCCCCCGTGTTGCGTGGGGCGTGGCAGTGTGGTAATTCCTCTCCCACTCACGTTCCATGGGCGTGAAGTTCATCCTCTGTTCGGCATGAGCAAAAGGTTCTTCCCAGGTTCATGCCTTCCACTTCCATGTTAGTGGTTCAGAGTGCAAGTAGTATAGTTGACTTGCCTTCTTGAATCGAAGGTGCGGCATGTCTTTCAGATGAACAGACATATGAAGAGATCGAACGAAGGTCGAAATAAAGCAACATTTCCACCAAATCGTTCTCGTGGAAGGACGCGGAGGGGGATAAGGGCGGGTTACGCAAGAGACGGATGATCAAAAATACGTCATGCACATTCCTGTGGATATCCAAAGTCAACCTGTCACAGAATGCCCACTTGCTTTGTTTTGACCGGTGGATCTTCTTGACTTTCCGAACCGTGCGGGATTTGTCTATCAACAGTCTCACTCAGTAGCATGTATAGCAACGGGTCATGCGGGGTCTGCACTCCACTCACTTAACCCATCCGAAGCATCACAAGGCCCACCTGGCAAGCCCTCTCTGTTTCACCCCCGAGCCCCCAAAAGATTCCGCGCGAAAGCACGGCGTGGAAAAGGACCGGAATTGGCGTCCTGGTTCCGGGGGGAGACGAGCGGGGAACAGGGCCTCCAAGTTTCTCCACTCCGGCGCCACCAACGGCGACCGAGTGTTGTTCTCCCTCGCCTGGCGGCAACGTGATGTTTTTCTGTTGTCAACCACAGAGTGAAGCACCACCAAAGACACCTGTCCGGTTCTTCCAGCTGTCTTGGAGCCATGTGACCCCAGATGTTGACACCGGACACCAGTCAAGCCCTCAAAATTCATAAGCTACAAGTGTCCATAAGAGTGACATTTCTCTTGGTGACTCTTCTCTTTCGACATCGCTGTAGCTTCCACCCCCACTGGTGAGCAACGGTGAACCTGAACCCTAGAGCGGTGCCAAGCAGCTTTGGATCCGGCCCCGCGAACACCCAACCACTCTGGTTTATCTCCCCTGCGAGCAAACATCCAATCCAAGCGTAAACTGGTTAAATGGCTGTGGTGCAAAACCCAAAACCTGTGTTAAACATTGGCCAAATTTTTAAGCTGTCCCCGCTGATACGGAAATAAACAGCGTCGCCAATTTGCCGCCTCCGGGGTCTTTTGCCAGTATGATGCGTAGAGTTCGAGCCTTTGGTCGGGCTGGCACCTTGCATTGGATTCCTTGCACTGGAGGGTTTCCTTTCTTTGCATCAATGTTTCCTGTACTCCAGAGTGGGTCAGGTCGTCCAAGTGTAAAACCTGGAACCCCAAACCGGCCCAAACCCTTCTAACTTGACCTTCCTCTTGGTTCATGTTCCAACCCGGGCCTCCCGGTTTTGGGCACAGCCCAATGGATCTTGCTTCATCTCCCTCAAGCTGAAGCGCCCCGCGCAGGCTGGAAGCAGCCTGGTGAATGGGCTCCACTTTGCTTGTGAGGCTGGGAGGGGGGAGGCACGCACTGTAGTTGAGTCCAGTCTAGTCTAAGGCGAGCTTCGTAATGAGGCGTAGTAAGTGAGGTGAAGTTCAGCGCTTCCTCGAAAAGCCTATCAGGGTCACCCAAACCTGTGTTGGGAGATGAACTGGAGACGGAAGGTGCAGAAGTCTGAAGGGGATTTGGGATTTCTTTTCGGGTTAGGATTTCCGTGTTTTGAACTACATCCGTCCTTCTGTCCGCTCTGGAGCTGAACATCCGTGGAATTTGGGACTAACGTCCGAACACCAAAAACACCTATAGTATAGACTCCCCAAAGAGGTTTCTATTGATAGCTCCTTAGAGGTTAAGGGGTGTCCATTAACCGCCCTCTGTGTAACACCTGTATAGACTCCGCAAATTGGTCGAAAAGTGGATGCCCACCCAAAAATGTGAAACCGTGGCCATCTATTTGTGGATCGACCGCCTCTGCAGATCGGTGGTCGTCCCAACACTTGGAGCAATCGGACGTCCGCGACACGAAAGGACGGTAGAGTTCTTGGTCGAAGTCAGACCACTGACCCGGTCCACTTCTGCTGATTGCCTGACTGGTATCGTTTTGATTCGTTTTGTGTTCACTGTCAGCTTCGCAGCCCCCCAAACTGAGCTGCCCAAGTGATTACTGACCCCTGTTCTGGAAGCCCGTGTGCTGTTACCGCCTGAGTTCTGATTACAAACTGCTTGCACTCAGAAGCGTAGGGCATAGAGAAGCATATTCTTTTGAAGAAACACTACCACTACGCTCCCAAACTTGAATGACGGGATTACGTTCCACTTCAAGAGTGCAGCAGCCGACAAAAGCCGGATGGATCTTCAATCTGAGGCAGATTGGAACCACTTTGTGATTGCTGCAAACATGTCGCGAGTGGATTCTTATTCCCAAATATTCATTGATCACACGAGCTACATGAAAACCCGACGCCAAACTGAGAGACGAATCAGATTCGAACATGCCGCATTTCAGCTTTGTTCAGATTCGTTTGCGTTTCTTTAACTGAGGGCCGATGTCCCGCCAGCGACACCGATATCGCTGAATTTGGGTGCTTTCTATTGTTTTTTTTGCAGAAAGAACGAACGACCAGGGCTCGCAACATTCACCCCTTCAGTTTCCCTCGGTCACCAGGCGGATGAGCCGCGAACAGTGATGCGAGTGAAGCCACTGGGCCATACTGGATGCTGCATGGAACGTGCGGGGCAGTTGAACGTGGAACCGGACATTTCTTTTAAGTTCTATAACAAAAAAAGTAACTTTACCCATTGATTACAAGGAGTATTGGAACATGTTGTTGCAGGAAACAAAAACACGTTGAAACACACAATTCATAGTTTGTTCATCCACATTGCACGGAAGATTGGAACACAATGAGACATGATATTGGATCATCACCATACTGCGTGTGCTGGGCACACTACTATCCCTCCAGCTAGGACACTTGATGATGGTGTAGAACCAATGGAAGGCCATTGGTACCAACTCTTTCACTCGGGTGTCACGGGGTGGTAAGGAGTGAAGGATCAAGTGGAAAGCACTTGAGGCACCCGATTCATACTCAGAGTTCGACGGAGTGGTTCCTTTGTAGAGGGAGCTCCTGTCCTGTTGGAGGGATCTTTTTTCCATCAGTAACAAGTGCCTTACTAGGAACAAGTGCATCGCTTCTAGTAACAAGTGCCTTACTAGTAGTAACAAGAAGCTACTAGGCTTTGCAATGTCCCGAGGACGACGTGTATGATCCCCTTCCCCTTTGATCCCTTTGTCGGGGGGTGTCATGTCCTTTTGGAGAAAGCAACACACGTGCATGTAGCGACGGTTCAATGCTTTTGGGAAATCGGATTTGCGGCGAAGCAGTCTGAGTAGACCTGGTTACCCTTGCAGCCACGAAACTTAAAGGATGGGAAAGGAACCTGAAAAGACCAGCCACAGGAACCAGTCCGTTCATCGTTCATCCCTCCATTCCGAGGCAGGAAAAGCGCACCCGACCCCATGGTGGGGGGCGACTTAGCTTCTCCATGAACAGGACCGCTTCTGCCTGCGTGGGGTGTGGCCTGGGTGAGTGGCTGGGGACGCGGCCGGAGGAATTCGCAAGATGTCAGCGGTTGACCTTTTGTGATGCTCTTGACTGAGTACTGGGGGTCGTGGAAGCAGTATGATTTGATATGACACTTGTTGAAAGAATCATGGACGTGGAATCCATTACTGTTTGCAGAGGAAACTGGTCATCCTTGTGGGGGCCATCCACTTCCAGGGAGCGTTTTTCTGTCCTGGAGAGCCACTTGGGCCCCCTACGGAGAGTATCCTGCCGATCTTTTAAGACTGAACGTTCTTAGCCAAGGTCAGCCCTAGCCTTTGCCAGTTGGTAGACTCCATAGACCTTCATAGAGGGGGTTCCACTCTGATGATACTCGCAGTGCAAGAACCGTCCTTGTATGTTCCTGTCTTCCTCGTATCACAGCCCAGCCCTGCCCGGGCCCATGAACGGGCTCTGTGAGCGTTGGCACCACCTGGAGGTGGAAGGGTTCACCCATGGGTTCACCCGGTTTGGAAGACGGTGCAAACACCATGAATTCAAGCCCTGGAGATGAAAAGAACACACCATGAATTCATAGCATTTTTATGTTGTGACTCAATTGTCAGCAATGAACGGGGTGAGATCACTGAGATGTACCACCGATTCTTTTGGTTTTGGATGTTTTTTAGAGTTTTTTTCCATGTATTTTGCTAATTATGTCCATCCATGGTTCGTCTTCCATGATGTCTGTGACCAAAGATCTAAAGATAAGAAGGAGCGACCCATCCGTGCTTTCGGAGATTCCAATGCTTTCCATCCGTGCAGGAAGCCTGTCTTGGCTTACTCGGCTGCTGGGCACAAGCGCGCAAGCGCAGGGCGATGATCAGACCAGGACACTAAAAGCATCTAAAAGCAGGGTCTGTAGTGTGACTACAACAGATGCTCGCAAGACCACTTTAGGGTCCAAGAACCACCAGTTGGAGGGCCCTTAAGCCATGCTTTGCATCTTTTTCAGTGTAGATTTATAGGCTGCGCAATAGGATGGATAAAGTATACAGGAAGTCTCGAAGCCTACGGCTGGTATAAAGTGGTCATTCTTTGCCAACCTTGATTTTCAACTCACATGAGATATATCGAGAGATGACAACATCACATCTCCAGCCTGCTTTAGTGCTAGACCCGACCCCCCGAACCAATCCCCTCGATCGGCACGCGCCCCGTCACCCCCCCCGCATGCGTACAAACGCTCTCTGCTGTGAGCGCTCAGATGACGGACGAGAAGGAGACGGAGCTAGCCGGTTCGGTGGGGCACCTGGAGACCGACCGGTCGCACCGGCAGGTCGACCGGGTGGTGGATTGGTCGCTCCAAGTGTGATGGATCCCCAACTTCTTTGGTTGGAGTCAGAGTTGGTGAGCCTCTGACTGAGTCACACGCTTGCTCAAGGGGATCTTTGAACCGCAGTTGGTGGCGCCTGACAGGAGTCTTTGACTGACACCTGTCCTGCTTGGAAAGCTACATCATCTAGATGCAGGTCATTTTTGAGATGTCTTAGCAGCCTTAGCTGGAAAACGATTCTTCTTCTAGCCCGCCGGCTAGCCCGCACTTTACAACAGGGCTGAGCGTTCAGCCCTGCTGTGTTCCGTTCGGAAACCAACGACGATCTCCGCCCGTTCAGCACTCGCCGTTCCGGACGGGGGTGAGTCAGGTCCTGCGGCGCTTGCGAGTTATGATGGATGAAGACCATGTGAACATGGTCACTTTGAGGCCGCCGTGATTGCCCAGCAAGGACGCTACTAGTAACAAGAAGCTACTAGGAACAAAGGGCATCCCTACTACTAGCAACAATCTACTAGTAGGATGGTTTTTTTTTCCCTGCAAGGACGAGAGGCTTGGAAGATTTGAGCCATGTCGGCCCACACTTGGCATGAACTTTTGTGTTTTTTCTTCAGGTGGATGAGATGGGGACGGGCCATTGGCTCGAAATGTTGAAAGGTGCCAACTTGGATGACACCAGCAGCTACCAACACGTGTCATGTTGTTTTTCTTCGCAAGGAAAGCTAGGACTCTAAGAGGATTTGTAGATTTGTGTGAACACCCTCCTGAGGTCCATGTTGATTATGCGCTCCGCCCTGTTTTGTACAGACTCACCCGAAAAAGGTGATGCCATTTCCAAGTATTTTACTGGATGGAGCTGGGTCATGGCACGTTGACCGACACCAAGGTGTCGGTGTGTCCATCGCTACATGGTGGACCAAAGGCTCCAGGTTTTGATGCTATTTGCCCATCGGGGTGTGCAGATGTTCTCTCTGCATCCACAGCCTATCACCCTGCATCCATCGCAGGCAGAAGTACTTCCGGCCCAAGTACCGAGTGGGCAAGTGGCAAGCAGACTACAACATGCGTGTGCCTCCGATCTGCAGTGATGTGGTGTGTGTGTGTGTGTGTGGCGTGTGTGGCATGTGGCGAGTGGACCATGTGATAGGTGAAGGATGGTGAAGAGTTATGCGGAGCTTTAGCAGATGGTCTGCCAGCAGTAGGTTCAAGCTTAGAGCTGTACAAAGAAGACTAGGACACATGGTCACATAATCTGAATCATCTCCGAGCTTTCCGTCGCATCGCTTCTGCCAGTTGTGCCGCCGGCGGAAGCTCCGGAAGCAGAAGGAGCTGCGGCCTGAGGAGTCGAATCGAGGACCCCCCACATCGGAACTGAAGGACGGAAGGTCCCATGAAGGAGCTTTCTGGTACAGTGGACCCATCGTGTCTCGGCTGGTCTAGCGATTTTTGGGTTGAGTTGACGTCGAAGAATTCCAACACAGCGAGATGTTCGGATCCAAGAAGGCCCAGGCGGGCACAACAGGAGAGTATGACTGTGGTGTGGTATGGTCGTGACAAGGAGAGGGGATCCCCGTGAAATCTCAGGAAGGCAAGGCTTGGGTTATCTAAACGCATCTCAAATACGTTTGTCCTGGCAATTAAGCTCAGTGCTCATTTGGCACTCGCTCGGTCCACTCAGGCGCTTTGAGGAAGCATGGTCCCAGTGGTTGCGCACCACCGGACGGAGCAACTCGGAATGGTCTCGGGAGCCGGTTGCTGGAGGATTTGCAAGGTGATATATAATATATAGTGATCATTATAGATCATAGTAATTAATATATACATAATCTCTATATATATATGATATATATATGACAAAAACTATATATATAGTTATTATACAGTATATATATACTGTTTTTTGCTGCACGGGCGAGCTGCTCGAGCTCGCTACACGTTAAAGATTGAGGGTGTCCACTTCACCTTTTGCCCTTTTTTATCGGAGTCAACTGCTGGCACGGAGAGTTTTGATTTCAGGGAATTCAAATCCTTGCAGTTGACTCCAGCAGTACCGCCACCAGAGTCATAAGGCAGTTGACTCCATCAATTGAAGATTGGCTCTTGCCAGAGTCTTACCTGGGCTGGAGAACTGAAATGAGACTGGCAAAGAACCTCTTCCGTTCGTACCTCTCCCTGGAACTAAGCATACCATGGCCCCTTGCAGTTCACCATTTTCCATTGCACACAGGGGAGTTCCAGGGAGAGTACTTCTCGACCACTTCCGCTTGGTGTTCCACCTTTGAACACTGGCTGAACATTGGCACTAAACCTCACAGAAGATCGGACAGACATGGACTGGGCTTACAGTGAAGAAAACAGTAGCAACAAGAACCCTCGTGGTAGTATCTAGAAGTGGTTCATGTTTTTAATTTCGATTCCATTTAGATGTTTATTTTGTAGGGAGACCCCGTTGACCAATGGGTAGATTGGTTCTCTCTGGGAACTCTCTCTGGGAGGTCTCTCTGAGCTCCTTGATGGTGGTTCTGCCTACTTTCCAGCAAAGGCATCGGCCTGCTTGAGCCGATCCCCTTCAACGGCCCCAAGCTCGTGCGGTTTGCCCAGCGTGAGCTGATGGGTCGTCGTGGATTGGATCCGGGTAGAAGTGGAAGATAAGCGTAGGACGCAATGATAATCAGAGTAATTGGAAAAAAGAAGCAAATATACTAAGTGCTTGCTTCATGCCAGACGCAGATATGAACTACGGAGTGCCAGGAATTCCATCCAACCCACTTCATCATGACTTTAGAGTGCCTGGCGCAGATTCAGCAGTTCCAACGGATCCAGTGGAAAGCCCTCCGCAACTGAGGGCAGCTACATGACCGAAGAGCTGGATAAGGCGACGGAAGTCGAAGCGGGGGCCCTCAGGCGGTGGAGACTTTTTGCACTATGGCTGGATCCATGGCAGGTGAAATGGTCCATGCGCGTGGTGAAGCATGCGTGGCTGGGTCCATGTGCGAGAGCCCTTCCGTCTGAAAGAATGTTCAGAGACATGTTTGGAGGTAGATATAGAGATATCACTTGAGCTCATGCTTGTACTCCTCTGCAGATTAACATGGACCCGAAAACCACTAGATTGGTCTTCAGAAAAGGCTAGACCCACCATGGGTCTTGCCTTCTATAGGGTTCATCTGCTCCATCTGCGATGGCTTGGGCAGCTCGGGAGTGACCTTCCCGGACTTCCGCAGAGGAGACGATGAAAGCACTTCCAACTCAGCAGGAGCGCCGTGCGGTACGTGTGCTGTGGCCGGGTGGAAAGATTGACCATTGGCATGGATCCTTACATCACATGATTTTTCATGCCACCATGCAAACACATGCAAACTATGAGGTGATTGCAAATCCAATCGTTGTCTTTGGACATTTCAGGGATGTCGTCCGTATAGAAACCTCCCCCCACATCACCACCTGAAAAGAGACTTTGAGAATTTGCCCAAATGTGCGTAGCACAGATGTACCATTTTTGGGATGAGGTAGACACCTAGGCCCCTAGGCACATCTTTACTGCGTTTACGGTAAGCTTGTAACAAACATAACGCACATGTTCCATCGGCATGCCGGCGATGGTTGGAATGTCTGGGCCTTTCAGGAGATGAGAATGAACAAGAAGTACCGAATGAGAGGCTGGAAACAATAGCTTGAGCCTTAGCCGCTTTACATGTCCATGCGGGTGCAGGGTTCACCCCCCCTGCAGCTGCAGGTGCAGAAAGCATCCACAGTCGTATGTTTCTGTCCCAGTGTTCCTGCCCAGGGATGTTTTCGACGACTTGTTCGAGCAGAAACCTGATGTTTTGGTTTCTTCCCGCACGTTTGGACGACGCACCGTCACGTTGCATTGTTATCCACCGCTCAGACGGACGTCGTGATGCATCCCACGCCTTGGCCCAGTTTGCCTGAAGATATCTTCCCTGGTCAGTGGAAAGACGATGAAGAGGACGCGGTTCACAAGTCGGGTGGCTCAGGCTGAAACAGCTGAAACGGCTTGATCATGAGGATTCCGTGTGAAAGATGATATATTTGACAAGACATGTCCGAACAAGCACCATGTCTGAATTTTCCTTTTTTCCTGTCAAGAACAGATTAGAAATCCCGCTCTGTAGCTCTGCTTTCATGCCAGAATTCCCGGTTCGTCGGTTGAGGCGCCCCGATGGCCTCCCCATGAAGCACATGGATTTGACATCCCATGGATTGCCGGGGTTCACGCACTTCTTTCTTTTGCCCGTGCTAGTCAAACAGCACCCGTATTGTCGATAGCCCAGCAGGTTGGAGGCCATCGCTATTAGTAACACGAAGCTACGAACGTAACAAAGGGGCATGTCAACCCGCGGTTTCGCACCCGTCGACCTCCGCCGTCCCCGAGGTTGTTCCGCCGTCCGCTCCACAAGGCCGGGAGGTCATGTGGTCGTCGATCCGGCAGAGCGCTCTGAGCGGAGCCGACCGAAGTCACCACCTGGGTAGAAGATCATCGTGATCTACAGTGGAACCTTTTTCTATATCTTTTCGCGGGGCGTCTGGCAGGTGACCTTCTTAGGGCTGGAAGTCCCAACTGCGAACCCTGCAAAGACGGGCTTGTTGTCTCCAAGCAGCGACATTTGTGGTTCATTTTTGGTCGGATTGGATTTTCGCAGTCTGACATGTTCTGGGGCGCTGGTGGGGGATTAAAACAATGAAGGGCTTGACGTGGAGGGGGCCCTTCCTACTTTCAGCGGGTTGAGATGAACCAGGACAGTTTAAAGCAACCTGCAGGACAACCCATACAACTGAGAAAACATGGTATGCTTTGTCGACATGCCGAAGAAAGCCAGGGCCATGCCACCGAGTGTTTTTCTGAACGATCAAGACTTGGAAATTTGGTAAACTTTTTTGGGGCAATGTATTTTTCGGCAATTGGAAGAGAATTTGGTTGGTATACTATTCCTCTTGACCAACCAATGGAAGCCTTTCTCGCCGCAGCTTCTTGACCTCGCCAGTATCCTTACGACATCAGCAAGCGGGGAACCAACCACGTGGTCAGGCCGCGCGGGTCCTGCGCTCTTCGGTTTTGCTGTCGCCTGTGTTTGTGTGCGCCGATCTGCGCCGATCTGATGAAATACTTCTCGTTGTTTGGGACAGTGCGACCGCAAAGAGTGGAGTTACGAGTATGGTGGTTTCATGGTCTCAATACTTCTGGTGGGTATGTAGGATTGAAGAGGACATTATTGCCGGTCAATCAAAGAATATTGGACATTATAATATGTTGAACCTATATTGGATTCAAATTTTGGATTGGCCAGGGGTATCGTCTTCTAATTGGAAATTCGATATGTCAATTTCAAACAAATAATATATATATATAGGTTTAATGAAATGAATGATATTTAAATATATTTATTAATCTATATATAATATATTTATTATTGATATATATATATATATTGATATGAAATCTATAATTATATGAAATGGATACGATATTTTTATTGGATTATATGGAGAATTGATGGGATAAATGATACGATAATTAATTATGTTTTTAAATTGTAATTAAGGAAATATGAATTTATTATTTATATAATTTAACTTATTTTTACATGAGATCGAATTAATTAATTATTATATATTTTATGAATATATATATATATATTTTTTAAATGAAACATATATAATTTGAATTTTAGGATATTAAATATATATAGGTAATTTATATTTATGACGATATTATATATTAATATATTATTTTTAAAAATTATAGTATAATTTATGTTTAATTGTTTTTAATTTATTAGACTTTAAAACGATTTAAATTAATTTCATTATTTTTATTATAAATAAAATATATTGCGAAAGGTAGTTTGGAAAGGATTCTTTTGAATTTGCTTTGCGAAGAAAAGGGATTGATTTGAGAGTCTGTTCGGAATTAAAGATTGATAGATTAATACCTATTATCTCTATTTTTCCCCCCTTATTTTACACTTCTTTTCCATTCGCCTTTTGGACACATTGTTATACCATAAGGTGAAATTATGCGCGTAGCAATTATAGCAATACGACGTTGGCTATGAGGTTGCGTAATACATTACGAATCCTGCATTATGAGGTTGCGCAATGCGGTTTCGATGCTGCGCGTGCGCGCCCGGCAGCCTGGCATAGCGCGTATTGCGTTCCCAGACCATATTGCTCGACACCAACGGTTAGCGTGACGTCCATCCCTGGCAATACCGGCGGTTTGGTCGTAACGCATGCAGGCCTGTAATCCTGATACAATGCGTGTAGTTGTGGGATTATAATTGGTTAACATGCGAGCGTTTACGCATTGCGATTTTTGTGCGTGCCTGTTCTTACCCACCTTTGCAGAAAACGAGCGTCGACGCAATGCAGCCTCTCTGCAGAGCCGGGTGGCGCAATCTGATCGCAACGGTGTTCTTTTTGAGTCTTCTTGTGCTCTTTGGCTTTGTTGGTTTCATCCATAATTGACCAAGGGGAATGTTCCTGAAATACCGGGGATAGTCCCTGACCAGAAAAGGTCCCGACAGCCCGACAGCTAATCCGGTCCGTCTCTACCTTTCGTGTTTCCCCGCTCAAGTAGAATATATTACTAAGAATTTATATTTGATATGTTTGTTGAATTTAATATTTATCTTAATATGATTCTTTTAATAAGAATTTATTTAATTAACATAGTTAAATCTTCCTATTAGCAAGGATTTTTTGAAATTCGTGGTGAATAATTTTTTTCCAGGATTAGTTATAATCGAATATCTATCGGGCAATTTCTCCTTCTCCAAAATATTTTTTATTTATAGATTAAATTAATTTCTAATCTTTCCAAATTCAAATCATCAATGATCCTTCTTCAAAATCTTTATAATTCTTGCATAATTAAGAATAAGAATATCTCTAATAATATAGAATATATCTAAAAATATAAACTAATCTATATATTATTATTGAATACTATTATGCAAATTTATATTCAGCAATGAATTTCAAAATTTTTTAAACAAAAAATATTCATTTCATTTCACGTCTGGCCAAGCTCTTATTGGCCCGTTTGGGCAAAACACGAATAAGAACTTCAAAGCCCCGTACAGGAGCACTCGACCGGCTAACGAAAAATGTCAACCAACAACTGCATCCAATCATCATTGGATCTGGGATGATAGAAAGACCTTTTCCAAAATTGAATTATCTTCTGCTGAGATGCCAACCAAAAAAGGTAGCAATCTTGTTTCAACTCTTCATGAAGACGATTTTTCCAAGGCAGGCGGTCATTAGCAGACAACCAAACATCTCCATTCATCAGAAGACAGCCTTGGTAGTGGCCAACGTCTGGAACCGGCCCGAGGTGCATAGTCATGCCAACAATGCGGTATTGAGTCCATTGCACTATCAATTCCTCGGGAACGGCATATACAGGCAAAAGGACCTCGGATCTTGGAAAATCAATCAGGATCTAATCTTTACGACGCAAATCTGGAAAGCGTTCAATCGAAAGGCAGATTCCGGGTGCTCATAGGTGAACGCATTGATATATGGCGTTTACTTGTGCCATCGGTGGATCAACTCTTGAAGATTGCAGGCTTTTTGGTCAGGGCATCGAAGCAATATGGGTGCATACAAGGCGCCCTGACCCATTGGACCATGTAGCAGTCTGCTTTGCCATCCCTGTTGGATGTAGCAGCGCTCAAATATTGCTCTCGCAACCATCCAGCATATTCGGCAGCGTCATGCTGCCTTCCGGGTTGGTAAAAGGCAAACCATGCAATATGGAGAGAATGGAACGGCTCACCCATGTTCAGGTCAACCAATGCACCTGAATCATCCATCAAAAATCTTTGAATGTATTGTCCCCATTGACCCCATCAGGACGGTGTGAAATCATCCAACTTAACCGAAGCCCAAAGCTAGCAGAACATCACACTGTTTTGGAAACCCATATTGCCTCCATTGTAGAAAGCATGCTCCAAAAGGCGGTGGGCTAACATTTCACCCTGTGGGCTACTGCTTGGGCTAGCTGTGACCTCTGCAATGAAGCTTGTCGGATCCTCAGAAGAATCATCTGACCAATGCCGTTGTCGCACAAGGCTTGGAGCGCACCAAACAGTTGCTGACTCTCGGGGGAACAAAAATATATTCAAAATCGAATGATGTTAAATGCATACAAAATAGATTTTCAAATTCTTCATATTGTATGAGTCGTATAATATCTTATTTTCCTTATATATATATATATAGATTTCAATCAAAACAAAAATATACCAATATATCTTTCAGAATCCAGAATGGATCCAGAACACCTAATAATATCTATATTGGGATGATCTCCAAGATACAGGGAATTAAAGTAATTCTGAATACCTACCAAATTTCAGAAAGAATATCAAATGAATTTCAATATGATTCCAATGGGTCGGAATGAAAATCTTGCCATTACAAACAAATATCAATATAGATAATATGAAATCATATAAAAAGGGTTCCTAAATATGTCATAATTCAATCAAATCCTAAAGGTATATATGAGTGATAATTATCTTTAATCGATTCATCAAGGCAGGTCTCCCAGCAGGGGATATAATTATAAAGATTTCCCAAAAAGATTATGATATATCGAATTCAATCAACAGATTTAGTTACAATACAATGGAATCCTAGATCATATTTGCATTGCCATGATGCAAATAATTCCATATATATTTCTATAAATATTATATTTAATCAACACCAATGAAAATTCGCAATAACATTTAAACCCATTATGAACCATCCAAAAACAATTTATTATCACGAAATTTTCTTTTGAAATCGTCTATATTAATAGATTTTTCTGCAAAAAATGGTAAATCCATAATGCTTACATAATTCTTAATACCGCACATTTATTCCAATTAATACATCCTTTAAATCATACATTTGTATTATTTTCCATATAAATAGTATTTTCAGATATCATTTTCATTAATTTCATTTAGCAAAATTCAATTTCTATATATAAATTTCAATTTCATCAAGAATTTTTCTTTGATTAATTCCAATTTATCGTTTATCTAAATATTCATCAAAAAAATATCGAATATATTTATATATTATTTCTCCATATTCCTTTCCTTAATATTCATAATAGTTATTTCATTCAATTTTACTAAATATAATTTGTATAATAGAAATTACATAATATCAATTCAAATTCATTATTTGTTTAAATATTGTTTATATTGCAATATCAATCTAATAAATATATCCATCAAATTTTCAATTTCTAATCTCAAACGAATCAAAATAGAATATCATCTCAAACGAATCACATTGCATCATCAAACCTAAAAAATATATTCGAAAATCTATTTATCGACATCATTCCCACAAAACAAATATAAATTTAAATAAATTCTAATCATCTAAACATATTTCAATATAGAAAACAATGAAATCTTAAATTAAATAGGAAATACATATATTAATACAAAAGGTATAACATATAAAACTACATCAATAAATTATCAAATTAATATATAAAATATGTAATTCAAAAATAAGAAATCACTACCATTATCAATCTTAAAATATATATATATTGTAAAATACATATATTATATATATTTGAGGCCGAAAATTAGTGACGAACACTAGAAGGGAGGGATAAAGGGGAAAGATATTGAATGATAAAGAAAACAAATCAAATCCTGCCGCCACAAAAACAATCAACCCCCTACCAACGAAAATATACACGTCCCAGAGACGGGAGGACCCCCCACATATGAAATTTTCACGCGTTACGGCCTTCTCGAGGATTCTAACCCGTCATTTCCTAGAGCAAAAACAATTCCAGCTAGCTGGTGCTAATTTTCGCAATAATAGATTCCATCTTTCAATCAATGGATGTTATTATTCAAAAATCATTAATACAAATTCAATAAATAGACGATCAATAAAATCATTCCATATTGATAAATTACCTATTCAGGGATTTTTTGTATATACATGATGTTGTTTATTTGTTATATGGGCCTTGCGCGTTTCAATTTGGTGAATAAATTATCATTTTCCACCTTTTGAATCTAATTATATATTGTTATTTTTCCCGAAAGCATTGCGAAGGGTTCTTCCGGAAAATCCCTTGAACACTGACACTTCGACACTTGCACTTACACACTGACACTTCCACACTTGCACTTGAACACTGACATTTCGACGCGTGCACTTGAACACTTACGCTTTCACACTTACACTTGAACATGAACATGAACACTTACACTTCTATACGTACCCCAGTGTAAGTGGAAGAGTGAAAGCATCCAACGGCAAGTATCCAAGTGTAAACGGAAAGTATCCAAGTGCAA